GCAGGAATGTGCATATGTGTGTGCATGTATGTACTGTGTATGTGCAGGTACACATATCTGCAGGTTCACATGCTCACACCATGCTTAAACTTTTACTCAAGGTTACCAATGCCGGTCCAGTAATTTATTGGCCACAATAATTTCTTTCTTAGGGCTAAAAGCATGGTAAACTTTTAGCTTTTAGCTCAGGAGTAAACATTTAACCTGGGCTAATCTCTTAGCTAATGATAACTGAGTTACTTGTTCAGGACAGGGAAATGAGCTAAGGGTTGTTGATCAAGACACTTTCCCACAGAGCAAGAAGCCTACACTTTTGACCTGGCAACTATTCTTCTGTCCGTCTCACAGTGTTCTGCAAGACAGGGATTATCAGAGGTACTGTTTTCAGCACCCCTCCCTTTAGTACAGAGTGCAGCCTGGACTTAAAAAGTTTTAGGCTCATCTTATCCTAGGGCCTCGCATCCTGGTTTCCTACAGCTGGGGATTCAAACTCAGGTCTTCATGTGTACACAGCAACTGGTCTTACCCTCTGAGTCGTCTCCTCAGCCCTATTTACTTATCTTTGTGTGTGTGTGTGGGTGTGTGTGTGTGTGTGTGTGTGTGCCAGAGGTTGATGTCAATCACTTATTATTGACTTATTGTTATGTCAATCACCTTATTTTGGGGACAAGTTCTCTCACTAACCCTGCTGCTCTCTGATTTGGCTGAAATGGCTGGTGAGTGAACTCCAAGGATCTGCTGTCTTCTCTCCAGTGCTGTGACTATAGTTGTGCTTTGCCATGACTGGTTTTTACATGGATGCTGGAGATCTGAACTCAGGTCTTCTTGTATGGCAAGCACTTTATCAATAGTCAACTCCTTAGCTCTCTGGGTTTTTTTTTTAAATAAGCATACAAAGTGATGCTTGATTGCTGCATTTTATTACATAATTTGCTTTTGTTGGTCCTCCTCCATTCCTTAAACATATTTTTATTTATTTATTTTTATTTTATGTGAATGAGTGTTTTGCCTGCATATATTTAAGTGCGCCCATATTATGCAATGCTTGCAGAGACCAGAAGAGGGTGTTGAATCCCTGGAACTGGAGACAGTTGTTAGCTGTCCATGTGGGTGCTGGGAACTGAACCCGTGTCCCCTATAAGAGCAGCTAGCGCTCTTAACCACTGAGCCATCTCTCCAGTCCCTGCTCCACTCCATCCTTTGTCTCCCCTTGTACCTTCCATGCCCAGTAGTTGGTTTGTTCCACTTTCATGTCACACATACTCTATCCCCTCCCTCCTGTCCTCTCAAAACCTCTTTCCCTGCTCTTGTGGCCCCCTTTCTAATTTCATCACACACACACACACACACACACACTCTTGCACAGGCTTCTGATGCAGCCTTGGTAATAGACAGGGGAGTGAAAAGGAAGATAAAATTGATTTTTTTAAAAAAAAAAATCCTGTGCAGGATTGAGTGGAAACAACTGGATCTAGACCCCAGAGTTCCCACATGTCAACTCATGAACTTGTGAAGATCACTTCATACTTCTGGGATTCTGTGGGTTTGTGTCTACAATAGCGACACCATGGCTTTCCTACTAGGAAAGTTGTTCAAGTGCTGATGGTCTCTCTTCACTGTCAACTTCACTGGATTTATCTTCACCATGGAAACATACCTCCAGGTTAGTCTATATGGGTGATTCCAGAACGTTTAACTGAGGAGGGAAGACCCACCCTGGGCGTGAGCAGCACCAGCCCTAGGGCTGGGGTCCCAGACTGAATACAAAGGAGACAGCCAACTGACCACCACCAGCTCCTGACTGTGGATGAAGATGACCTGCTGCCTCAGGCTCCCATCGCCATGACACACTAACTGTACCCTCGAACCATGAGTCAGAATAAAGCCTTCCTTCCTTAACTTGCTTTTATCAGATATTTTGTCACAGAAGTGAGAGGAGTCATAACACAGAGTGTCTCCAAATCTCCAACCTGTGCATATTCTGAGCCATGAAGCCTGGTCATGTGGCTGCAGTCACAGAGAGAAAATGCCCCCTTCTTGAAGCACTCACCTTGTTTTCTATTAAATAATTTTATTCAGTATTTGTACATTGACTAAGGACAAAGGTCAAACATCAGAATCAAAACTCAGAGAATTTTTTAAGTAAACCACAGGACTCTCGAAAAGTTGGAGGTCATAGCAAGCATTCTTGCCTGTGCCCGAAAATATAGTTTCTCTCTGACAAAAACTAAGGTCAAAGACTGGAACCTCACACTTCTGTAAGGTCGTAGGGTGATTTTGTGGAAAGGTTTTGAGAATGGAAACACTGTTTGGCATTGATGCACATTTTTCTCCCTTCCTCTGTCACATTATATCTAAGGTGGGAGACCAGATAGACATTCCTGACACAACTTGAAAATAATATAAAACAATAAATAAGACGTGAAATAACAGAACAGCTCTGGTGAGCTTCCAGAGGCTTCTGGGAATAAATCAGGGAAGCTATTCCCAGAGGGAAGCTGGTACTTGGCTGGGGATGGTTAACAGCAGAAATGACAGTTTCAAGATCGACGACAGTCCTGTTACTGAGAGGGCAGTTTTCACATCTGCAAGGGCTTGTCCCTGGACTAGACAACTACCCACGGTCATCCTCCCTCTGTAAATCAAAGCCATCAATTACGGCCTCCTGGTGCAGCAGCATCTGATGCTGTGGGACAGACAGGGCTGAACAGGAAATCACTGGCTGGGGCCAGCTCCTTCTGGAGCTGCCTGACTAGTGATGCTGTCCGACAAGCGATGCAGACTCTGTGGAAATCCTGTCCCACCTGGGCCTGGCTCCCATCTCAGCACTGTCTAAGACCTGCCATGCATCACTTGCTGTGCACATCTGAGGCTTGGAGACAGCGCACAGCCTTCACGGAGCAGCAGAAACTTGACTCTTCTAACCTGTCACTGGCTCTGTAGGAACTGAAGAGTCAGTTCCTTGGTTTTAATGATGCCGTGTCTGACCAAACCGAATCAAGTTGCTTTGTAAGCCAAAGGGAACACAGAAGAATCTAGCACCATATAAGATAAATATGCAATGAAAGTTATGCAACTAAAAGCTTTTTGAATAGAAGTTTGAATGATTGGCATACATTGGTATGCCAGGCTAGAGAGATAACTCCACTGGTCAAGCACTTCCCATCCAGCCTGACTACTTGAGTTCGATCTCTGAAACCCACATGATAGAAGTTATCTTCTGATCTCCACATGTGCACAGTGGTAGGCATGCATCCATACTCATGTATACACATTATACACACACATGAGTGAGGAGGAGGAGGAGGAGGAGGAAGAGGAGGAGGAAGATTTTTAAAAATTTAGAAGAAATGACTTGTTCAGTCAACTCTAGATTGCTAATTTGAACCAAGCACTGGTCTATGCCCTGACAGTATTTAATTGTTGTGCCTACAGATCGAACTTAAAAGAACAGCATTATGTTTTATGAGTGGACAAAGCACATGTGACCAAGGTTGAGAGCAGCACTAGTCTGTGGGTATAAAGATAAATGCTTACAAGTCCGATTGGCAGCATGCCCAGTTCGCAGAACTTCAGTAGTAGGTTCCTCCTGAGGACCTGTGACCTACCCAGCCATGGGCTTTTGAGCAGGTTTATTGTAACAGGTATGTATTCTCTTCACCACATGCACATTCTTACGTGGGTAAACCTTCACTTTAGGTACTTTGGACAGTTGAATAGGGGTTTTAGTGGAGATTCAAATCCATGTCAGTATAACCTCAGCTTGCCTGCAAGTCCCCATGTTGAAAACACACCGAAACCTGTACAGTCCAGAGAATGACCTACAATAGCTACACTTCTGGTTTTGGGTGAGCGAGTTTTTTTGAACATATAGCTAGCCGAAGCAGAAGAATAAATAGAAAGTGATAGGTATTAGAGATAGATAGACAATACATAGACAGATGACTGATAGATAGGAAAACATCATCAATTTTGGGCTTGCAAACACCCAGCAGAAACTGACTGGGGAAGTTGAGGCAGTCAGCCAGCGTTCTCAACTGAACTTTCTCTCCAGGGCTGAGCTTCCCATGACTGAACTTCCAGCTTCTCTTTCTCACTGCTGACACGTTTGCGCTATCAGGGATAAACAATAGTAACTTCTGTTAGGAATGGTTCACCTTCTAGCTGTTCTCAAGGGCATGGTGGGGTTTTTTTTTAAAAAAAAAAAAAAAAGAAAGAAAAACTGTTGGGCCGTTTGCTGTTCTGCTCCCTCCCTGTCACAGAGTCCAGGGAACAGCCTAGCCCTAGACCAGGGGCATTGGAGGACACTGTGAGACAGATAAACTTGGGTCTGAAATGGAGGGGAGAGCAGGCCTGCTTCCAGAGCCAACTCAGTGAGCTCAAACAGCACATGACAACTTACCAGTACAATGCACATTATAAACCCGCACGGCCGTTTGCTGTTCTGCTCCCTCCCTGTCACAGAGTCCAGGGAACAGCCTAGCCCTAGACCAGGGGCATTGGAGGACACTGTGAGACAGATAAACTTGGGTCTGAAATGGAGGGGAGAGCAGGCCTGCTTCCAGAGCCAACTCAGTGAGCTCAAACAGCACATGACAACTTACCAGTACAATGCACATTATAAACCCGCACTCTCCTCTGGGATGATCTCAAAAATCCCTGACTTGGTTCACTTAGAGAACACACCCCTTTACCCTCAACAACAGAGTTATTCTCTAGAGCTCACGTCTTGAATGCAGGGTCGCCTGGTCTTCCAGTGGCTATTCTTTTATGCTGCAGGCAGGCTGCCAGGAATGAGCAGGAGAGGGCGAAGGAGTGGGAGGCTGCGGGGAGGGGGCGGGCAGTGCAGAACCAGGACCCTGCGGGGGAGGGGGGGCAGGGCCAGTGCAGAACCAGGACCCTGCCGGCTCCAGAGTAAAGGCTCTGCATGGCCTCTTTCTTCTGGTTGGTGCTTCTGCTTGGAGTTGCCAGGTGAGTGCAGGTGGGTTCATGGGCAGAGAGCAGCTAGGCTGGCTCAGACCTACTGGTAGCGCTGGTAAAGGCTGCCTTGGGCTCTAGGGGGATATCTTTGAAATTCACATAAAATCTAGAAGTTGGGGATGTGGCCCAAGATTCTCATTTCTGTGGATATTGGTTTTGCTGCTTCATGACCATATTTTGAATAGATGCACATAGAATGTTTTCCAAGCTAGGTGGGGGAAGTTGGGGGGTGGGGATTGTCCCACCCTCCTCTCTTGTTTTTTTCTCTGTCATGCCTTCGTTTTCTGGGATGGATTCAGCCACCAGTGGAACCCTGTCATTTTTCTCCAAAAGAACCATGAGATGCCTTGAAAATTTCTCACTAAAATCATGATGAGATTTCAAAGAATATTTAGTTGAAAAACTGCTCAAATTATGAGATTTCCTTTCTCCCAACTTTTAAGCTCCTAGTTGCTGTTCCACTTATAATTAATTAATTAGCTTGTTTATGTTTTGCTTTTTTCTTTTTGAGGTACAGTTTCATGTAGCCCAGACTGGCCCTGAACTTGCTATGTAACTGAGGATAACCTTGAACTTCTGATCCTCCTACCTCCACATCCTGAGTGCTGGCATTACAGGCATCACCTGGCCTGGTTTAAGTGGTGCTGTGAATCAAACTCTGGGCCTTGCACATGCCGGGCAAACACTCCAATGACTGAGCTGTAGCCCCAGCCCTATTTGCTTTTTGAAAATTAGTATACAAAGCAATGGGTTTCATTAAGGACTATTTCACACATATTTTGAATTTAATTCTCTCTGCTTGCCCTCCCCTCCCCACTAGTCCTTTACTTTGCTTTCCTATGACATGCATTCTACTCCCCTCTTCCCTCCTCGCTCTCTTAAGATCTCTTTCCCCCTCTAGTTTTATATTTCCTGTTTCTAGTCATAGTTTCCTAGTTTTGTGATCTACAATCCACACATATCTACACATACACAAAAATCAAAATCTAGGCTCTGCCAATGAGAGAAAACATACAGTATCTGTCTTTCTCAATCTGGATTATTTTGCTTAATATAGTAATTTCCAGTGTCATCTATTTTTCCTATTGTTTCAGTGAATATGTGCCTTAAAATTTTCTTTATTTATTTATTTTTATTTTATGTGTGAGTGTTTTTGCCTGGATGTATGTAAGTGCATCCATGCCATGCAAAGCCTGTGGCGGTCAGAAGAGGGTATTGGATCCCCTGGAACTGGAGTTACAGATGGTTGTTAGCTGCCGTGTAGATGCTGGGAATGGAACCCAGGTCCTCTGCAAGAGGACCTCAGCTGGTGTTCTTAACCACTGAACCGGTAAACATTGTCTTGACTGCAGTCTGGCACAGGAAGTCAGGCGCAGAATTTCCTATTTGTTATTATGTTAGCGCTCAAAAATTTACAGACATTTAGGCTGGGGAGATGGCTCAATAGATCAAGCACTTGCTATGTGAGCATGAGGCCCTGAGATAGAAGCCCAGAACTCATGTAAAGCCGGACGTAGTAGTGCACATCTGTAATCTCAGCAGTACTCTGATGAGATGGGAGGTGGAGACAGGAGGATGCCTAGAAGCACATGGGACAGTTAGCCTGATGTGTGCGGTGGTGGACAACAAGATGCTGCCTCAAATGAGGTGGAACGTGAGGACTGAGACCTGCAGTTGTCTTCTAACCCCCACACGTATCATGGCAGGCATACCCACATACATCCACATTACACACAGACAGAGAAAGAAGCTGTGGAGTTTGCACATCAGAGCGTTCCTCAGTGGTGTAAGAGGTTTGCATGGTGTCTTAATGTGCTGAGGCTGCTTTAAAAAATAGACTGAGTAATTTATAAACAACAGAGTTTCATTTCTCCCAGTTCTAGAGACTGGGAGGTCCAGCATGATGGCACCAGCAGATAAAGTGTCTGGTGTAGGCCTTTTCCTCCTGAATGCTGATCTATGTGTCCTTGTTTGATGACGGGGCTGAAGGGCGCCCTCAAACCTCTTTTATAAGGGTATTAACTTACTTATGACTTAAAGGCTCTGTTTCCTGTTCTTTTTTTTCTTTTTAGGTTCTGGAGTTTGAATCCAGGACCTGTTCCATGCTAGGCAGGCACTCTATCGCAGAGCCATGCCCTTAGCCCCTCACTGGGAGAGTCTAGACAGGTGCTCTACCACTGAGCCACACCCCAGCCCCTCACTGGGGGATTCTAGGCAGGTGTTCTACCACTGAGCCACACCCCAGCCCCTCACTGGGGATTCTAGGCAGGTGCTCTACCACTGAGCCACACCCCAGCCCCTCACTGGGGGATTCTAGGCAGGTGTTCTACCACTGAGCCACACCCCAGCCCCTCACTGGGG